TTTTTTTGTCTTTTCTTTTTTGGTACTGGGGATCGAACCCAGGACGTTGCACTTGCTAGGCAAGTGCTTTGCCACTGAGCTACATCCCAGCCCAACTCTGAGATTCTTATCTTCAATTACCACCAAAAAGCCAGAAGTGGAGCTGTTTATGGCTCAAGTAATGGAGCAGTAGCCTGAGCAAATAAAGCTCAGAGACTGTGCGCAGGCCCTGAATTCAAGCCCCAGGACTGCCACAGAGAGAGAGACAGAGAGAGGGAGACAGAGACAAGAGACAGACAGGCAGAGAGACAGAGATAGAGGCAGAACAGGCACAATCAAAACAATTTGTGAAATCTCTAGAAGTCAAATATAAAGGAATGGAGCATATTAATTAGGTGACAAAGTATTCGAACAAACCATAATAAAGATGCTCAATGAGCTCAGGAAAATACAGCATGAACAAAAAATAATCTCAACAACAGGAAAAGTTTTAAAAACAATTAAGCAAGCTAGGCCCTGGTGGCTCTCACCTGTAATCCTAACTACTCAGGAAGCTGCCATCAGAGGATCATGGTTTTAAGCCAGGCTAAGCAGAATCTCTTTTACTGTTGTGGTACCTGGCACCATTTTTTTTTTTTTGCTGGTCATGGGCATTAACTCTGGGCCTGGGCGCTGTCCCTCAGCTCTTCAGCTCAAGGCTAGCGCTCTACCACTGGAGCCACAGCGCCACTTCCGGCTTTTTCTGTTTATGTGGTGCTAAGGAATCGAACCCAGGGCCTCATGCTTGCAAGGCATGCACTCTACCACTGAGCTACCTTCCCAGCCCGCAGAATCTCTTTTATATCCAATTAACCACCAAAAAAACTACAAGTGGAGGTGTGGCTCAAGTGGTAAAGCACTAGCCCTGAGCAAAAAGCTCAGAGATAGCGCAAAGGCCCTACGTTCAAGTTCTAAACAAAGGCTAATAACTACCTAGAAAGGAGTTCAACCTCATCAAAGTGAGAAAATATGAAATGAATTTTAAAAAAGATAAAAAACATTCCATTTCATGATTGAAATGAAAATAACTGAAAAATGTATTGATTATCTGAAGCAGCAGGGATTCATATATACAACTAATACAAACATGCATAATGGAAAAGTTTGTCATTATCATCTACGAAAATCAAATCCAAAAATACACATTCTGTAATTCACTAGCCCAACTACCAGAAAAATACTTAGAAGAAGTGTGCATGTCCCAGTGCCGGTGGCTCAAGCCTGAATCCTAGCTACTCAGGAGACTGAGATCTAAGGATTCAAGTTCAAAGCCAGCCCTGACTGGGCTGGGATTCAAGTTCAAGTCCAGCCCGGGCAGGAAAGTCCGTGAGACTCATCTCCAATTAACCACCAGATAATCAGAAGTGGTGCTGTGGCTCAAGTGGTAGCTCACTCTCCTTGACCTTAAGAGCTGCAGGACAGCACCCAGGCCCAGAGTTCAAGCCCCATGACTGACAAAAGAAAATAAATATTCATGAATGACTCCAAAGAAAGGTACACAATGCTTATAAACAGCATCATAGACATTCAAAAATCCAATACAAATTCCTCAACTATGTACTAGATCATAGCATGCTTATGAAATAGCCCTAGATGTGAAACAAAATGAATGACCACCACATGTAAAAATGGGGGATGGTTTCAAAAGTAATGATGAATAACAAAGGCAAAGGACACAAACACTGTGTAATTTTATGTAGGGGTTCAGGAAATATGTATTAATTGTAAACATCAAGTGTGAGGTTATGTAGTAAAGAAAATAAGGGAAAGTAACTTAGGGTCATGTGAGGAGCATAAGGAATGCAGATGGGTAGTTGGCATGGTAGAGTGGTATAACTTTTTGCCATATTCATGTATGTTTTTAGGTATTAAATATATGTGAAACTTTTTCCTAAACTTTGATTGTCATATGGTAAAGACAGTCAAAAGGAAATATATTAGAAGCTACAAATATATGTGTGTTGATAACAAACAATAAAAGAAGGCAATATACACTGCTTTGATATCTTCTAATACCAAAGGAATATACACAGCTGTCAGTCACCATGTTGCCAGTCCAGTGTCAACCTAACGCTCTCAAATGAATATCCTACCTCAGTTTCCCAGTTACCCCTCAACTTCAAAAGACATTAATTATATAGTGCTGTGGCTCAAGTGGTAGAGAACTAAACTTGAGCTAAAGAGCTAAGGCACAACACTCAGGCCCAGAGTTCAAGCCCACGACCAACAACAACAACAACAAACAAGCAATAAACAAGAATATATAAATGGAAGGGAAAAAAAACAAGGAAGAGGAATCTAACAGTGACCAGGCAACACTAATTGAGATCACAAACTGAAATTCACTTTTAATATATCTCCAAACGAGGGCTGGGAAGATGGCTCAGTGGTAGAGTGCTTGCCTTGCCTGCATGAGGCCCTGGGTTCGATTCCTCGGCACCACATAAGCAGTAAAAGCCAGAAGTGGGGCTGTGGTTCAAGAAGTAGAGCACTAGCCTTGAGCTGCAGAGTTCAGAGACAACACCCAGGCCCAGACTTCAGACCTCACGACGGACAAAAAATAAAAAATGAAAAGATATTTGCAAAGGAACAGAACCACAAAAGCATAAATACAAGGATTTTGTTTAAAGAAAAATTACTCACTTTGACGGAGAAATCTGGTTCGCCAGCCAGTTGCTCCGCTTTATCAGGGTTAACTGGACAGGGTGGAAGGCTGGGGCTGAAGGCCATGAGATCCGTATTGGA